CAACAATATCTGCCCATTATGTGTTAATAATTGCATCAGACAAGGAAAAACACAACTGACATGTTTCAAAAAGGATGCTTATTATAAATGAAAGAGTCCCAAATAGTAAAGAAATAGTTCCTCTCCCCCCCCCCCCCCTTTTGCACAAGTCGAGGAGCGTGTCTGGTTACATTTCACTGTGAGCTATACTTTATAACTATGCATGTGACGAATAAGGAACCTTGAATCTCTTGAATCTTGAATTTGGAACAGGAACTAATAATAATTATTATCATGTTTGTCTTTTTATCTTAACAACCAATAGAACTTACTGTGGTAGGATAGTTGTACTAATATTGCCAGTTTATCTTCCATATTGCTTATTTTTGACTGCACATTTCTCTAATGTATCAGGATTTTAGTGTTCTCACCCTTTTGTTATGTCCTTCAGTGTGGTTATGCATGAGAACAAATGGAGGTTATATATAGTTTTTTTAATTACATGTTTGGTTGATTTTTTTTAAGTGAGTGATACATGGATAAGTCTGTGGTCTCCACATGCTTCAAGAGATTCATCGTCGTCCCTGTGCCCAAGTCCAACATGCCCTCATGCCTGATTGACTACTGGCCTGTTGCACTGACTTCTGTAGTAATGAAGGTGTTCGAGAAGGACTGCACCCTTCTCTAACAGATCCACTCGCCTACCAACCTAGACGCCATCGCCCATGTCTTGCACACCACCCTTAGCCATATAGACAAGAAACAGGGTAACTATGGCTACGTTCACACTGCAGGTGAAAGCGCATCAAATCCAACTTTTTTGACCCTATGTGACCCATCTATCCGATCATGGTGTGACAGTGTGAACGGCGCAAATCCGATATTTTCAAATCCGATCTGGGTCACTTTCGTATGTTGTACTGAAGCCGATACATATCTGATGTTTTAGAAAGCGACTGCTGTTTGATGGTCATGTCGCATTAAATCCGTCTTTTACGTCACTGACACAAGACAGACTCCAATTATCAGTGCCAGAGAAGACATTGTGAATGCTTCCTGGCCATCCCGTGTAGATGTCAGTGAAACTGTTGGGAAGACAACGTGAACATTTTATTTGTACTGTATAATCTGCAGATTCTGACAGAAATCTGCAGCTATCCTTTGAAGCACCGCTCCTCTCTTAAACAGCAATAAGGTCCATTATTAGGTTATCTACATTATTATGTAAATAACAAAATAACTTAAAGCAAAAATTGGGAAACGTAAAGACCGAAGTCTTTATATTAAGGGCCATCAGTCAAACAATACTGTTGCTCTGGGTCTAAACAGAGCGCGTTGTGTGTGACGTCTTCTTTTCTGCATGCGGCCGCTTTGAGCGTTCACACTAGAGCGCGTTTGCTGTCGCATTTTATTTGTAGTGTGAACAAGCAGACAAAAAAAAAATCGGAGTGAACGTAGCCTAAGTGAGATTGCTGTTTATTGACTATTGACTATTCACACAGTTGAGGGATTTAGGACTCATCAGTCGTCTGTCTGCATGGGTGCTGGACTTCCTCACTGGCAGAACTCTGGTGGTGAGGGTGGGTTGGTGCATTTCTGACAGTATCGCCATCAACACGGGAGCGCCACAGGGGTGTGTACTCTCGCTACTGCTCTACTCCCTCTATACTTTAGACTGTGTGGCCACCCACGGCTCCAATACCATTGTGAAGTTTGCTGACAACACAGTGGTGTTGGGCTCCAATAACAATGAGGCGGCCTACATGGATGAAGTGAAGAATCTGACATCGTGGTGCCAGTATAACCACCTCCAGCTGAATGTCGGCAAAACCAAGGAGCTTGTGGTGGACTTCAGAATGAGTCAGCACAAAGCCCATTGTCATCAATCAGCTCCAGTGTAGAGGGTGCAGTCCTTCAAGTATCTCGGTGTCCACATCTCCTCAAACATGGGGCGATCGTGGCTCAAGAGTTAGGAGTTCGCCTTGTAATCGGAAGGTTGCCGGTTCGAGCCTCGGCTTGGACAGTCTCGGTCGTTGTGTCCTTGGGCAAGACACTTTACCCATTGCCTACTGGTGGTGGTCAGAGGGCCTGGTGGCGCCAGTGTCCGGCAGCCTCGCCTCTGTCAGTGCGCCCCAGGGTGGCTGTGGCTACAATGTAGCTGCCATCACCTGTGTGTGAATGGGTGAATGACTGGATGTGTAAAGCGCTTTGGGGTCCTTAGGGACTAGTAAAGCGCTATATAAATACAGGCCATTTACCATTTACATGACATGGTCTGCCCACATTCAGGTCCAGTCCGAAAAGGGCAAGCAGCGCCTGTATCACCTCTGACAACTGGGGAAGTTCGGCTTTGCTCCAGTGATCCTCTGGACTTTCTATACAGGCGCTGTGGAGAGCATCCTCACACAGAACATCACATCCTGGTGCGGGAACAGCTTTGCTAAAGACCAAAACGTTCTTCAGAGAGTGATCTGTACGGCTGCACGACTGCCCTCCCCTCCCCACAGGACATTTACACCAGGAGATGCTAATATGGAAGGACCCGTCCCATCCCAGCAATAAACCTTTCCAACTTCTGTAATCAGGCAGAAGGTTCAGAACCATCCAAGCAAAAACAGAGAGGCTCAAGAGGATTTTCTGTCCTCAGGCCATCCATGTGTTGAATCAGGACATGCTTATGACTGTTTACTTTTTAATTTAGCAATGGGTTAATTGTCTTTCATACACTTTAATACAGAAAATCTTTAAAGACTTACTACATAAAAATGTTAGTAGATGTGCAGGAAAAGCCAACTGTGTCACCTTGTGGTAAAAATGCTGCTTTGCTCAGTAAAAGCAATGAGCAACAGCAGGTACCCTGGGCGAAACATTCAATCAACAGGGCACTCAGTCTTGTGCAGCATACTTTTCACTGCTTCGTTATGAACAAACTACAGTTATTAAGAATATTTCTGTAAGAAATGTTCTTGTTGCTACTTGTAACACAAGTGGATTTTAGTGCTTTCTGTTTCTGTTCTTTTCTAGCAGCTAATTAATGACTTTGTTGCCACCATCAAAATGTAATTCACATGCTAATTTGATAGGATAACCCCCTATGGTAGTTAGGGATTACTTGAATGAATAAATAAAATAAAAAATAAAAGCAAATAAAATCTAATAATTACAAAGAAGAAGAACAAACCAGAAACTAGTTAACAAACTTAAAAAAAAAGTTTTTTATATGTAGCTTAAATATGCTAGTGACCATAGAGGTAATTTAGATAGGCGTCACATTAGCCGTTGACTGAGAGGGTGTGCCTCACTTACCAAGAGATCTTTCTTCCTTAGAAGCTTGGAAGATGAAGACATCGTAGTCAAGGCTTGAGCATAGTTTAAGGCCACAATGAAGAGGTCAAGGGTCGGAGATGCCTGATTGTTTGATTGTTTCCGCACTCTTTCAGGGGTTTAATTGTTTTTGTCAGTGTTTATTGTAGCTCAGACTGTTTCTTGTGTTTCTGTGTAAAGCCGAAGTGATAAAGAACCATATTGCTTGTGTACAGAGACTAACTGGAAGTATTCGGGCAGTATTGACAAACTGCCTGTAGAGAGATACTTCCCTTCCTTGTGTTGGAGAGCCATCTTGTGGTTAGGGATGGTACTGAAATCATTTATCAATTAAGGACTTATTCTCTAATGACCATTTCAAAATGGATGTCAAAAAAAGAATTCAACTCTCAATAGAAAACTCACTTCAAAAACCATTTTCTAATTCTAAATAAAAAAACAGAATTTTACAAAAATCTTTTCAAAATGCAATTTTAAAAAAAGAGAAATAAGTGAATTGATTAAAAAAAAGTCAAAGATTTATTTCTGACAAGAAAAGTTGTTGGTTGGAGATATGTTACACACAGAAACAGCGATGTCCTCCTCAGTCACTTCAGCATCCCCGAAGCATCCCTAAGAGTTATACAGCAGCACTGTGAATAACACTGCCATGCTGCATCTGTAAATGATGCACAGGCTGCAGGTATTCAGACATACTGTCATGGACGAGAGTCTGGTGACCCAGTTTTTAAGTTTTGATTATTTTATATTCTTTGATTTTGTGATTTTCTCATGGTTTAGTCTTTTGATTTTCTGGCTCTCTAAGTTCTTCAGCGTTTTGTGATTTCCCGTTCTTAGGTTTTGTTTCTTGTGATTAGTTTCTTTTAGAAAATCAATATTATAATCCCCACACAAACAGAAAGTCTTATTTCCCTTAGCCCTACTTAATAAATCTTCCACTACATCTATACATTTTTCCAGGCTTTCTATATATACAAGTAACAATTATATTCTTCGTTCCATTTCTAGTTCTACTGTAAGAGTCTCCATTAAGTCGTCAATAACCATAGACATATCTTTAAGTTGTTTACATTTCAGATCACAGTTAACAAAAAGTGCCACCCCTCCTGCCTTCTTATTAGATCTATTTATGTACTATAACTCATACCCGTCAATATAGAAATCACAGCCCCTTTTCTCATCTAGCCATGTTTCAGATAAAGCAATTACCTTAAACTTGCCTCTCAAACTATGCAAAAAATCATTAATCGGAGCAAAGTTTTTATATAGGCTTCTACAATTAAATGGTACACTGTAAAACCCAATAAGTTAATTTTACTCAAAACTTTTGGTGAAACTGATTACATAAAATATTTTAAGTAACTAAAACTTAAAAATAAAAGTTAAATAAACACACTTTATTTATTAGCTTTAGATAAATATTTTTAAGTACCATTGATAAATGTTTTTATGTTATATCCACATTTTTGGTTTAGTACTCTCTACTTGATATTTTGAGTTTCAAGTACAAATCTAGCTCAAGTAACTTTAAGGAATTAATTTTTAGTTTCAAAATGTTAACCATTTTAAGCTAATACAACTCAAAAATTTTAAATACAAATGCTTGTAATATCCAAATCTACTGTGTTTTGAATTTGATTTAAAAAAAAAAAAAAGTGCCCAAAATAATTACACTTGTAAAAACATAAGACAGAAAATATAAATTCAAGTTACAGATTTATTGAGTTACTTTGACACAAAAAGCCCAAAGACATAAATCCACCACATTTTATAGGGAATAATGTCAGAAATTTTGGCACAAGGTTACAATATTAGAAATAAAGAATTTCACAACATGTTTTAAGAGTATTCAAATTTGATTAACACATGAGTATGGCCTTTTTATTAAAAAAAACAAACAAAAGGAAAAGAAAATCCTGCATTATTAGGTGGGAAAACCGAATGAAAGTAATAGTATAGTGCAGCTAATACACTGAAATATAATTGGTAACCTTTTTAATATGCCAGTACTGTGGTTATGCAAAATGCACATTTGTAGAGTGCAATCACAGTCTCAACAACAAAGCAATAAAATTTTAAATAGAAAAATACTTCTTTAGAGACATAAACAAAGTGTTATAAACCTCCTTAGCGCCTTATGTCAGTTATGAGTAGTTCAGGAGGAACGTTCCTTAAGTGACATTCAAGATCCCACCTAGAAGCCAGAAATGTAGTGAGATTGTCCTTCATTTTCTCTATAGATTTACAGTTATCTGACTAAAAACACAATCAAAATCAACTAAAACACAAGTGATGATGGGGGGAAAAAAATAAATAAAAATAATAAAATCACCCCTTTTACTTTGGATGTGGCTTTTAGATAATGAAGTATGAAACAGAGTCTGCAAAGATTTCTTTATTCTATTCTCTCTTTTTATAAAAAACTTATCCAGACTTGGAAACATGATAAACTGAATTACTTGCTTTAACAGGCACTTGAGGGCTGTGTAGGAATCCTGGACATTATTCTGCTGCCAAAAGATCATTTTTAAGACTCAGCACTTTGGGCTTCAACTTCCCACCCTTCAGACCCATCAAAACTTTCTGAATAAAGTCAAAAATGTTGGCCAAACATTTTGGGTAGCTTAGGTGCAGGACGTCAGTCAGTCCAAATATTACTAGAAATGCATCAGCCAGGGTGGTGAAAACAATGATCATGTTACCCTCGACCAAAACTGCAGTCTTCTCAGGGCAGAAGAATGTTGCATCGCTGGAATTGGCTCTGATCAGGAGGAGTCCAAGTGGCACTTCACTAATATCTGGTCTATCAGAATGCATCATCTACAGAAAACAAAATTACTACATGTTAGTGCATTCCTATTTCTCTTAGTTTCATCTATACAAGTCACATTTCTGGATTATTACTAGCTCAGAAATCAATTGTTTGAACAACAAAAAAGCCACAACACACCAAGATTTGAGAAAACAAACTGACAAAAATAGTACTTTTAGTAAAGCAAAGTCATACCTCTTCGTAGCAATAACAACAGAAAGTCAATAGGAGTTATATATTTTTTTCATTTGTACAGTGATGTATGGTTGGGCTAGGAACATTATAGAAGGTCTACGCACATTAAAAACATGTAGTGTTTCCATTATGTGACATGGACACTGTTGTAGACAGATCCAAGCATGGAGATGCTTCTCAAACTCTCAAAGTGTCATAATGTTTTGAGAAATCTAAACAAGGATGCTACTAAGATATTGTTCACAACTTTGTCCAAAACTTACATCCCATGTTTTGATGAAGGTAGAGGTGTCTTCGTACAAATAGGCAGAGAGGGCATGAAGCACACCAGCACTTTGGGCATGGATATCAGCTTGTTCCTACATCACAAGAAAATTTTTATTTTAAATTATTGGCTAACCTAGTCAAGAATGGTAATTAAAATTGAAAAATTGATCAAATCAAATGAAGCTCAAAAAACAAGACAAAAACTCACTAACCTGGAGATTATAGCTTCTGAAGAGCTGAGACAGGACATCAGACACGTTCCCTGTGCAAACAGCTTTCTTTCTGAATAAGCTCTGGAGCCGGGGAGCATGTTGGTCCAGCACAGCATAAAAGTGGTTCTTCAGGTGGAGGTTTGTAATCCTGTGCAATTCTGCACAGATCTGAACACACAGGATACATTTGTGTTTACAAGTTTCAATTAGTCTATAAATCTTTGCAAAATACATCAAAATCCTTACACTCCAAAGGCATAATTTGTTCAGACAGGCCAGATAACAGGGGTTGATATAAAATACATCTTGTTAGATACATCTATATACATTCTTACCTGGGACTGGGATTTCAGAGTAGGCCAGCAATCCAGGATCTGACCTACTGGTAGGTCATCATTGATGATCTCTTTGCATTGCAAGGCCAAAGTTGTGAGCATCAGCTTTGTAATCAGGATTCTTTTCACTTTTCTCGACTTCATCTACAATCTGTAGTCTTAGCTGGTCAAGGTAAACAGCATCTTCACCCCTGAAAATTTACTTCTGCCCTGGCATGGACATAACAGTAAAACACAGAAGACAAGACAGACTACACAGAGAACAGAAAAGACACACAACCAAGGAGACACAGATGAAACATAACCAGCCCAGAACTCAACTAAACCTTAACTAATAATAACAACAATACAAGAACTTCACCTCATTTCAATATAACATAAGAAAGCAAAACTACAAAATAAACTCAAAATGCTGGTTCACAGACCCAGCCCCTGACAGATAAAAAACTAAGTCTTTCACTAATGAACACTGGGCATCAGAATAAAATAAAACGAAAAAATAACTGTTTGGTAAATATATTATTGATGGATTCACCCTTAAGCTAACCTAAAATAGACCAGGCACAACAATTTTACAGTTCAGAAGATTCTACATTTCAACTTGGTATACATAACTATTTGCAATGTAAACCAAGTTCTACCGCGTAATTATGTAATGATTATTCACTGCTTTTGTAAGTATGTCCTGTGCCTACAATTTTGCTGCCCCAGTTTTAATATGTACAACTCCAGAGAACTAAACGTAAGTTTTAAGTTCCACTAGTTAGCAAATGGGCTAGCCAATATCAATATCCACGTATGCGCTAAGTGTGAAGCAGCGCAGCAGTGCATATTGATTCAACAATTTAACCACAAGGCAGTTTATAATCTGCAAATCCAGAAATGCCTTCTAAAGACTTCTTTTAAAATAGTAAGAGATTAGAAAAGTTATTAACACATTATTAGTCCCAGGGACTAATAATGTGTTATACTAAATATGAGCGTATTAGCATAATTCATGCAAACACTTTGGGGCCAAGCCGACATGGATAAAACGACGCATGCATGTAATTCTTAAATGCCTGCTAGAGTTGTACATTTATGACGATAAAAACCCATATTACAACGGAGAACTATAGTTTCAGAAAAAATAAAACTTACCACAAAGCGCTCCTGAAGATGCCGCGAAGGCGGTAAATGCAGCTAGCCAAGTGCAGAGGGTTAGCTGTTCCAGTTCAAAAGTCCGTAACATACCATAGCATGCCCTCCTTTATCCAGCGTCAAAGGCAATGCCGCAAAAAACCCGTTGACAAATGTTTTTATTTCTGTTCGGATATTAACGTTCCACAAGTTTCTTTCGGGGTAATGAGCGGGCATTCGCACTCGAAGCGAGGAATCCAAGATGGTTGCCAGCACTTCATAAAGAAACAGGTGGCGCACGTAGGTACGTACGTAGGCACGTAAGTGACGTCAGTGTTAAAACTCAAATTATTTGAGCGCAATGCTAGAAACTAATCAATATATTCAAGTACTGATAACTTGAAAAAACAAAATTGTTCAAACTACTCAAAAAAATAAAGGTGTATGAACTTATAACAGGTTTTTAAGTAGTTGGAACTCATTTCATTTATCAAACTATTACTATTCGGTCTTACAGTGTAAATGGCCTGTATTTGTATAGCACTTTACACATCCAGTCATCCACACATTCACACACACATTCACACACACTGGTGATGGCAGCTACATTGTAGCCACAGCCATTAAAAGCAATTAAAGAAAATGTATTACTTATATCAACGTTATCTCTAAATTGGTCCTCCATATAATATTCACATGTCTCATTAATTGTGTTAAGCACATTCCCTTCTAGATCAATATTGGCTTCAAAGTCATATGATTTATAATCTAAATCACCGCTCATTGTAAATGAGTATTCTTTAAATGACTATTATTCTCACAAAAAAACAAAAGACGAAACAACATTAGCAGTCGGCATCTGTCTACCAACATAAAGAGAAAATCCGGTGATCTTATCACAGTCCCATGTCCAAATTACAGCCTGACTCTGGTCCTCTTCCATACAATTATATATCCAATTCCTCGAGATCTTTAATCGTGATGACCTTGGCTTCTTCTGGTGTTCCATTAAGCTTTATCATCACTTTACAGTTTCTCGTCCAAGTTGCTTGGATTTTTTTCCTTCCGTAATATGCGAGCTTGTCTGGCGATGTCTGCATTCTTTTTTGCAAGATGTTCATTCAAGTATACTCCGCTTCCTCTCAGCTGTCTGGACTGCCTCAGTAAGTCAGTTTTGTGTTTTTGATTTACAAATCTCACTACTATCGCTGGAGGTGCTTTGCATTCTTTCTGGGAAGGGTATAGCATGCTGCAACGTTGTTACTGTGCAGGGGCAGTTTTTTACTCGCAAAAAACTCCACAACTTGCCGCTCCAGTGTTTGCAGCTCTCTACCGGGGGCTCATCACCACCAGTTTTTACACCGATCCCTGTCTCGATGACTCTCGCGTAACTCCTATGTTTGGTTTCCAGACCAGTAATGATGACATCCTCAAGCCATGTCTACTGTTCCAACTCCTCCACTCTCATTTCTAAGAGTTGGATTTTCTTGTCTTTCTCTGTAATCAAGTTTTTTAGCTCTTTAATTTGGTCCATCAGAGACGTAAGTAATCCTTGTTGCTTAATTACTTTCTTGACATCCGTCGACAATGAATTAAGTGGAAGCTTGATCTCCTCCAAATCCTCTTCGATTTTCTTCATTTTTGCCATTTTCTCCTCTTTTAGATATCTATCCTTTGTTTATTCGTTTCCCTTTGTTACTATTACCTAATTCCAGGCAGGATCTATAGGCTACTCAGAATTACATAAAATTAATTAGAATCACCAAACAATTTTCACCACGCCTGTTTCTTTCTGCGCCATCTTGTTTCCTGACAATCTGGTTGTAAGATTACGATAATTATTTATTAAAAGTGAGACATTTTAAATGAGAATGAAAGAAAAGCATGTCTTTGTGCCTTCCTTTCCTTGTTAATGCCCTACGTGGCACCCTGGAAAAACTTTGCTAGACCCACCCTGCACAGCTACCAACTATCAGCTACTAGTGATGTGTCGGTCACAAACAAAACGGCTATTAAGGTGCAACACTGAGTTGAAAGCAGTTTCTTAGCACCTGGTTGATGAGGGAACAAGGTTTGTAACAAAGTTTGTCTGGTAGATATCTATTTTGTTGTTTTACGGAGCATATAGCAGCTGACCGCTACTAAGCATAAAGGCTAAGTTTTCACCCACTAGAGGGCGCTAACGTACCTCGTCATGTTTAGGCAGCGATGCCACGATTTCCCTGTTATATGAAATAATTTACAAGTTTTAGTGTTATTTGTTATGCAAGGTAAGGAGAATTAATTTGTGATTAATGAATAAGTCAAAAGGTTAAAGGTAACACACTGTTTGATTTACTAATAGTCTTTTATTCTGTATGTTGTAGCTCTTACGGTGTGTTCACATACACGGCTGTTTAATAAAAGGATTGTGAACCATCAGTTTGAGAGACCATCTTTTCAACCGGGGATGCTACACAAACAGTTTACCCTTGTGTCCTCCACACGTGTGCTTCAAGGACTTCTTCCTGTGTGCAGCAGCTGCATGACTCAGTTGGAAGAACTCTGATTAAAAAAACGGTGCTGAGTGCACGCTTATAGCCCATCTCTGTGAATTGCATTGCAGGGCTCAGCAGACAGATCCCACTCGTACACATTCCTGGATGGCTCATGGATCTGGTATTTTGTGTCAGGAACACCAACTGAGGATGTGGGTTAGATTTCTTTGAAAGAGAGGAAGAGAAGGCCGTGAATAAATCTGTCAAATAAAGTTACACAACTGTAGATGATCGGTCATTTTAGTCCCTCTTCTGTGTTTGTCCTCCTCACAAGGTTTAACAGAAAACTGCCAACAGTGAACTTATTAAACAGACCCGTCTGGCAGTTTTCAAGTTTGTCTAAAGGGCAGCAGCTTTTAAATGTTGCTGTGACTGACGAATTCACTGCATTCAGTCCAGGAGAAAAGCCTCTTTGATTTTGTTGGAAGAAAGTGGAGGACAAGGATGATATGGGTATGGAGGACAGAGGTCTCGGGTAGAAAAGGACGAGAACGAGGGAGGAAGTGGAGTGAGGATAAAAATTTTGGTTGGAACGCCAAGTTGGAAATGGGCGATAGGTGAAATCAGTTCAGATGAAGCAAGTGCTGTAGTTTGGAAGAAGATAGCAAGAGAGGAATTCAAGCTAATATTGACGTTTAGGAAGGAGGATGAGAACATACAGTTATGTTTGATTGCGGTATCAAAGATACCTTCAACATGAAGTCCACTTTACTCTAGTTTCATGAAAATTAGAGCTGATTGCGAACACTCATGACAATCCAAGAAACCTGAGTCAAGCTACACAAAGTGGGTGAAGGAAACAGGAAGTCAGAGCAGGAACAGAATCGAACATCCAGAACTTTCTAAGAGCTGCTGCGAGTAGCTTTTGCCGTTATATATGTCTGTACTGTTGAAAATCTGTGTTGATTTTGTTACATTGAGGGCCCCGAAAAGCGCTATATAAATGCAATACATTATTATTATTATTATTATTATTATTATTATTAACATAACTGATTTTCAAAAAGTTTAGTCAGTTCATCTGTACAAATGAACTGATTTTAACTCATTCACTGCCATTGACGTCTATAGCCGTCAATGGCAGTGAATGAGTCAATGGGTTTAACTCATTCACTGCCAATGGCTGGCAGTGAATGAGTTAAATGAAAGCATATTTCCTTACATTATGTGGCTTTTTGATACCAAATAATAATAAAGCTTATAATGCCCTCTTTCATGTAACTGTGGGCACTCTGGGGTTTCTATAACCCGGTTGTCAGAAACTTCCCACGCTGTCTGTCAAGTCTGTGATCACTGTGGTTGATGCTGCTGCTGATTGGTTGCTGTGGTGGTGGAGCTTGTGGTGGGCCTGTAGATGTTGACGGCTGTGCTTCTGAGTTAATGAGAACTAAAGCATCGGCATAACAAACACATTACTTTTTTAGCTGATATCACTTATAGTGAAATAAAAACTGGAACTGCTCACAATCTGGTGGTGGTGGTATCAGTGAAGCTTCGTGGGCCTTATTCAGATGTCCACATGCAGTATTTTTAAAAATTGGGTCATGCAGCGTGACCAAGGCTGGTACCCAGAATGATCTGGTGTGCAGGCCTTCAAGTGTAAGCCTAAGTTACACGCATCCCTGTTGCTTGTCATGTGTTTCCTTATGGTATTAAGAGTTTTTGTTTTTTTTTTGTTTTGTTTTTTGTTATGTGCTATGTGCAGAGGTGTGTTGTTTTTTTTTTCTGTTCTCAACCTGATCTCCCTGTTGGAGCTCAATCTGGGGGGAGTTATTTTTTTCTCCTTATCTTTCCTCATGTTGTGCTTTTTCCATTGTTATACCTCTCTGACCTGTCTTCCCCATGTGATGTTTTTGTGTAATGTATGTATGGTTGGAGGGAAAGATGGCGCCGCCATTGCGTGCAATAGGTCGGCAGCCTTAACATGAAATTGCTCACTTGTGGGACTAATAAAGGCATCTTATCTTATCTTTTAATGCCAGTACTCTGGTCCTCAAACATTCTGTCATCGTGAGCTTAAATGGTTAAAGTGACATGCATTCATGAATCTGTCCATAGTCACAAATAATGCAACTATTTTCAGGATTTGTTGCAAATTTCTTGCAGAGCAGGTGTTCAGTCACAGGCCTACTTTATAAAATGATTTAGAGTGTGGGCAAATTAAGTATGAGAGGAGGTTTAGCAGCTGGACATTTCACAAATTAAATGTAGTTTTATTTATATGGCACCAAATATCTTAGTGTAGTGATTAAAACCACACAATAACCGTCAAGCGCCTTTATACTATTCATACATTCATACATGCTCTAAAACAAACTAGGGAGAAAAATGCAACAAAAAAGGAGAAAGAGGAAAAAGCAGTGAGACAATCACATGTACAGCCAGTCTTGTAGGAGACAATACAATATAAATCACATTTCAATGCATAAATATCCCTTTTTAATGTCAAATATATAAAATTACCATCACTCCTACATCCACAAAATCATCTCAGGCTCTTTGCCTTCACAAATCACCCTTGTTCACAGCCACTCATCAGCACAAAGGAGAGAAGAAGAGCACATGCTACTACTTTTATACCCTCCCTTTCATCCCCTGGGTCCTAAAGCCTTCCCAATTACAGCATTTGTAACTTGCGACATAATGGCAAGTCACACCATGTCACATCTATGCTAATGGAAGGCCACATTTCAGCTGGACTAACAAAATCCCCCTTCTGTAGGTCAGCCGTGGCTTTCTCCTTGATGTTGCTGTCCTTGTCCTCCACCACTTCCTTGAGTGTCTTTCTCGATGGAAGGATAAAGGTGGGGTCATGCTTTTGGACGAAGGCCCTGAAAGCTTTCATTCTCTTCAAAGAGCTGCAAATCCTCCACAAGAAATACAGCAGAGCCTCATCCAACTCGGTCTTTCTGACTTTCACAGTAGAAAATAGACTACATTCAAAAGGGTTAAATTAAGTAACTCCAACTTCAAACATTTGTTTAGGGTACGATCCTATTACTAAAACACAACAAAGAAACAAACTTAGCATTGGCTTTATATCACATCCACTTTTCATGCTGTCAAGCTGACTGTGACATCACTGGTCTAGCCCAATCATCTTTCTGTCACCCTTCTTCAGGACAATCAGCCTTCATTCCATGTACTTTAAATCTCCCATCTGTCATTCTCCCTTGCAGACCCATTTGTGCAACCCACCTCCTCCCCATCACCTCCTCTCTCTCGTCACTCAGGCTCCATTTAAGCCTCCATCTTCATGTCCACCACCAGGATCTAGAGTCTGCAGGACATGCTCTAATCCCCATCACCGCTGGGATTCTGTTCTGCTGCGATGGGTCATCAGAGTCTAACCTCAAACTGAATTCTGTACATCAATAAATCATCTCCAGTTCTTTCAAATGATCTCTCATATTGAAATATATGGGACCTTCACTTGTTGTTGTTTGATGATGTTTAGATTTATTCACTGAATTAAACTGACTGAGTATAGTGTCAGTGTTGGGGATGGACATCAGCCAGGATAGCTTGTGAGACTTATGACATCCACAAACAGCAGCAGGTCAGTATTATTACTAATGACTTATTATTGGTGGGGATGGTTATCATTATGATACCGATGTTTTTGGTGTCATTGTTAATGACTTATTCTCTCAGTGCGATCATAATATGCTTGCATGTAAGTATGTATGTACATGCATTTTGGACTGATAGAAACAATGTTACCCTACACCCTTCCCATTTGCATGTTTTGAAGGGTGTGGTTGTTTTTTTGTTTTTGAAAGAAGAATGGAAAGAAAAGCACACCAAGACATGGGTCTTTGTCTCTGACCACAGGACGGAGTCAAAGACTCATGAATCTCTGCGGTTATTTTCTCAGCAGTCCACACACACAGAGTGTCTTTAAGTAGTTTTATTGATTTATTTATAGGGCTATTACATGCTATACTATATCGGATACCTCCAAACATGGGTTATTACTAGAGTGCAGCAAAGGAGATATCTATGGTCAGCTCTGGGAAGTTGTTTTTGACACACAAGAAGTGACCAAACAGATGGATGCAAAGTAATAGTAAGGGATCAATAAAGTATTCTGATTCTGATTCTAAATGTTTTAGAAGGCCTACCAGTATTATGGCTTTCTATTGTCTTTCTCTCTCAGGTAATTTCATTCATGGGAAACAAATGTTGTTGCACATATATCAATATTTATTAAATATACAATTACAGTAAAAATACAATTACTTCATATATGATACAGCCAAAGACTGTATCAGGAAAGCAGAAATAGTAGAAGCTGATTTAACAAAATAATTCAACACTGTAGGAAAGCTTTTATTTGCATTCCGGAGGAGATTTAGATCAATAACCCCTTTAAAGTATAAAACATATATAAAATTAATAAATATATACAACAACTGGAACGCACACCGAACGTTAACCTACAGTATCATAAACTACCTTGAGTTAAGGTCGAATTATGAGGTTGCCAATCAACCAAAATTGAGAAACCTGAAATTTTTTTTGAAAATAAAAAAATAAATACACCTGAATTAAACAACACAGAAATTAATCCCAAGAGAGGGGAAAAACAGACATCAAGACTTCAAATATAATATCACTTGAATACAGAGACGGGCATCGGTGGTCAAAACCCATTCCTATCCGAGCGACTCTTCCGCCACAGATAGATGGCCAACAACACTGAAAGACAAACAGTAACAGATTTGACCTGAGCGGAAAAACTAGAACATCTTCAATTTGCAGTAGAAAAGGTTTTCAGGCGTTTTTAAGAAATTGTGTCCAGGTTTGAAGAAAAAGCCAACTTACCAGCAAGAATACCGGGTATCAGCAGGGAAAGTACTATTGGAAAGACACTGTGTGGTGGAGGATTACTGAGGCTCACTGTCTTGTCACCATACTTTATCTAGAAAACACAAAAACGCATTTCACAGAGGGACGTCTCAACAGAGCACTGGGTCACAGTATTTCCTCTATTACTACCATTTTGAAAGAAATATCAATTTGAAAACGACTGTAGAGAACTGTTGTTATCTCTATGTCTGTTTCATGGTTTTTTGTTTTACTATGTTCGTTCCTTTCATGTCCCAGTTTCATCTCTGTCTTGTCTTCAGCGTCTGTTGTGGAAGTCTTGTCTCTGTGTTTATTTACCTCCCAGAGGTGTCTCTGTTTAGTTTTTTCAGGTTCACGTTCTCACCGTTTCCTTCCTGTTTTATTTTGATAGTCCCGTGTACATTATATTCAGTTTTGCTTACTATGTCTCATTACTTCAGTCTTCACGTGGTCTTTGTTTTGTTCTCCCCACAAGCTGTGTGATCCATGGGCCCCTGTTGGACGCCAGTCTGTGAGTTACTGGTTTTCGTCTTACCTGAGCTATTTTGAATAGCACATTTTGAGCTCTTAAGCAATAAAGCTATTTTAAAGTTTGTGTTCGTGAGTTTTGAGTCCTGCATTTTCGTCCCACCCTGCCTGCCGCATAGCGAAACCTGACATAAAAGGATTGATTCTCATTAGCTTTCCCTCACTTGTTGTACTGTTTCCGTTCAGGTTGCCAGCCCTCACCTGCTGCCTTCCTGGTGGTGCTCCAGTTTCTCCCAGCGTCCTAGCCTCTTGCTCTCCTGAAGCTTCTAGTGCGATCCCCCTCTTCCATAGGTCACTTGCAGTTTCACCCCGTCTTTCAGATGGATGCTTATTTTCGTATAGGCTGTTTCTTCTGGTATGCCAAATATATGGATGATGCTTCTTCACGATCTTGCTCAAGGTTGTTTTGTTTTTTTTCTTGCATCTGCTGTGCATGGCTCAACAACATCACAAGGGCCTCGTTAGCTTCTTTGTGCCACTTTCCTAATTCTGTCACCCAGCACTGCATTTTGTTAAGTTTTGCTATTTCTTCTTGAATTGTTTCCTGAATTTCTCCAAATTTCCTTTTCATAGCATAACTGATGCAAGTTAGTTCTTTTTTTCACTTCACTTTTGACTTCAGCTTTGAATATTTTTAGTTTTTGTGTGAGACTCTGCATGGTCACTGTGCTGTCTTCATGCCTGTGTCCATCTGTCCCGTTGTCTCTCTTCATCCCTTTTCAGCTTGGTTAGCATTTCGTCAGCTTTCTTTGGTTTCTTCTTTTGTTTTCCTCACGCGCATGCATCATTTGAACCGTGTCAGTATTTTTTAAAGTCAGTTCTTCCCAGTCAGTCACGTCTCCCTGTCACTGTTAGTTACTGTTGTCTCTGTGCTCCATGTTCTGTTTCTAAGCCCTCCTTGTGTTCCTGGTGTCTTGACTCTAGTGAAGGTTTAGTTTTTCTGTCTCATGTAGTCTCCGTGTGCTATGTGCTTGGGTCTAAACCTGCCATGTTCCACGTCTCTGTGTCAAGTCTGCTTATGTCTCATGCTTCCTGTTTTACTTTGATAGTCCTTGTCCTATGTCAGTGTATCTAGTTTTGCTTCCCTTTGTCTCATTATGTCTGATTAGTCCCAGCTGTGTTTCCCTCCTGTTTCTCATTCCCTCCTCGTGTATTTAAACCCTGTGTTTGCCTTTTGTCACGTCATACCCTCATGGTTGTGTGATTCTCTGTGTGTTTGGTTCATTAGGTTTCCCAGTTTAGTTTTGCATTGTTTATTTATTCAGCAAATAAAGCTGTTTTCTGAGTTTTGCCTACAAGTCTGCATTTGGGTCCTTTCCTGCCTGCCACACACGACCATTTCATGACATTTTTAAAGGCAAATAGCGCTGATTTGATCTTTTCTTCTGCTAATTGTATTTTAAAGCTCAAAAAAACCCCAAAAAAACAGTAATTTGAAAACATACCAGAAATGTATTTATGGTGTAAATTGTTAGCACAGTACTACACTTCTGAGGACTTTGTAAGATAATAGAGATGTTGTGATGTTATACCTATTATCACATTAATCACACTTAAAAGAAAGATTTACCTTTAAGTCATAAAATTCTGTGTTGGGTGGCCTTTTAATCCGACAGATAAATAAATCCATCTCTTTGGCCTCCAGGATACAGGGGTGTTCCTGTTTGTCTTGAACGCCCCACACTGATAACTCTTCTTTTGACATCTCCAGGTTGTCTGACTTTTTCTGAAACAACAACAGAAGTCTGATCTTCAGTGAGCTGATGTCATATGTTAGTAGATTGTTTCAACAGACGCAACATTACCTGTATGGTGACGCGTACATCTTCCCCTGTTCTTATAGCCGTGAAGCTGGTAAACTCAGGGTCCGGATAGTAGGTGATGTTTGTGGAGCAGGCCAAGGTTTGATTGGCTACTTTCAAAGACACACTGCTGCTCAAAGTTTTTTCAGCTGCAGGTGTGTCATAGGTGAGACTCTGCAAGGACTTTGACTGTATAACACAGAATGTATTTAGTGTGTGGACAGTACAGCAAGCAGATGATGATGTCAAGGTAAACCAAGCACAAACACATTTCCAAAAGAGCTGGAATGCTTACGTCACCTTATTTTGTTGAGCATAAAGTGCATCCAGGAAGTATTCACAGCACTTCACTTGTTCCACATTTTGTCATGTTTATTCCAAACATTCCAGCAGCTATTCCTTATTCCAAAATGGATAAAATTCACTTTCAAGACTCTACACACAGTGTACCACAGTGACACAGTGAATGATAGTTGTTTGAACTTATTGCAAATATAGTTTTTTAAATTAAGAATATAACCTATACATAAGTATTTCCAGCCTTTTCAGATGTGGGGAAGGGTACAGAAAAGGTCCCAATGAGCAAAAATGCTGGCCTCTTGTATGGAACCACGGGGACTTCATAGTTCTGGCAGCCTGGCCAATCTGAGTCGGGTTATAAGGGCCACAGTCAGGCAGGAGAACCTTCCAGAAGGACAATCATTTCTGCAGCACCTGAAGAACTCTCAGACCATGAGAACAAAACTCTTCGGTCTGATGAAACAAAGATGGAACTCTTTGGCTTAAATGCAAAGTGTTGGGAGGAAACTAGCACTGCTCATCACCTGCTCATCACCTGGCCGATACTATCCCTACAGTGAAGCATGGTGGTGGCAGAATAATGGTTAGGGTTGAGATGAGATGAATGCAGCGATATACTGTGACATCCTTGATGATAACCTGCACCAGAGCACTCTGGACATCAGACTGAGGAGGATGCTCATCTTTTGGCAGGAAAACAATGCTAAGCACACAGTCAGGATAACAAAGGAGTGGCTTCAGGACAGTCTGTGAATGTCCTTGGGTGACCCAATTTAGAGCCCAGACCCAACTGAACCTCTCTGAAAATGGCTGTGCACCGATCCTCATCATCCAACCTGATGAGCTGGAGAGGTTCTGCAAAAAACAATGGGAGAGATTTCCCAAAAATAGTTGTGCCAAGCTCATAGTATCATAATCTAAAACAGTTAGGTCTGTAATTGCTGCCAGAGGTGCTTCAACAAAGTGCTGAGCAAAGGCTGAGAATACTTACATGTTATCTTTTTGTTTTTGATAAATTTGCAGGAATTCCAAGCAAATGTATTTCATTTAGTCTTTTTTCGGGTAATGTTTCTAGAATTTTAAATGGAAAATGAATTGAATCCATTTTGGAATGAGGCTGGAACAACTGCAGCGCTCTGAATACTTCCTGGAAGCACGGAGCCTTCAGGAATTCTTGACTAAGAAACTAGAAATATTTACATTTAAGTTGTGTTAAAACTGTAGCTGTAATAAATGTCAGACTGTAAATCCAAAATCCTCTTCATTCCTGCTGCACTGAACCATCTGTCTGACCCTCACTTTCATTTTCTCATTCATATATTCAACAGAAAAGGACACATCAGAGTGCATTAAAGAGATAATGATCGGGAACATGAAAACCTACTTTGCTCATTGTTAACATGAACACTTTTGTAATTAATCGTTCATCTAGACAAAGACGCCAATCGGTTACTCTTTCAGTCACAGCTAATCTCTCTGAAACTTTGTTCACCGAGTGTTTCCCAGGTTTCCCAAGCTAGTGAGTCCATCAACTCAGAGCAGAATGTTAGACTGACGTATTCAATTTATAATAAACAGTCCCATTTCCACTGTGTGTGTCTGCAGACCTGATAGCTGCTGTTTCTGGGAAGCTCGACGTCCTGCTTGGTGTGGCTGTGTTTCACTCCTTCAGCAACCTCCAGGTGTGACCCCATGAGTGTGAGCTTCCTCTTCCCACTGCAAAACACAGAGCAGCATTTATGCAGAGCAGAGAATATGAAAGACTCTTGATCACAGAGAAGTGAGTCATCCTTGGATCCAGCAGATCTCACTGAAGAATAACGAGAAGCTTATTGTTTGATGGACCAGAAAAATAACCATCTGTCTATTTTCTTTCCTGCCAACCTGTTATATTTGTAATAAATAAATAAAACTAATGTAGTTTTAGATTCGGATGATTAACACCACCTTGACTATCTGCCTCAGGAAGACTCCCCACTTCACTAGCTGGGCCCACGTCCTCATTTTAGGTTTGACAGCGTTGTAGTAGGTAAAAGTGAATGCTTTGATATGACTTGAGCTGTGGTTTGGGGAAGGCCTCGAAGGGGACTGGCGACGGCTCCCTGGCAGATCCCCGTGTACTAAATAGAAGTGAAGACGTTAAAGAATGGAGAACAAGGACGGAGGGAGGGTGGTGCATGTAAACGAGAATGAACAGCTTGCAGAACTGGGGAAACCAGAAGGTTGTCATCTATAGACGAGCGTGTTTGGAAGCGTGGTCCTGCTCCTGAAATTACGATACATAATCTCCAATAAAATGATCTGCAGATGATTTTGATTAATCAGGTTTGTTATTGCACTTCTTCAGAAGATAATTTCTTAGAGACAGTGTGCTCCATATGTCACATTAAATGAGACATATGGAGCACATATGGCTGGGGGGTCATGGTTTGGTCCTGCCTTCGCTATTGTGGTTGAGGGTAGGGACGGCCTTAGGCGTCTGGGGATTCCCAAAGGTGGCCTCCTCAAAAACAACTATCAGCACAAGTTTCTTTTAATCATAATTGCAAAGAAACTGACATTAAGCAAAGAGTTCAAACTCTTTCTGTAACCTCGGCTTCTGGAAGTTGTGGATCTACGATCAGCAGTTATCACTAACGAATTGTGCAAAACTAATTTTACCTCATCCAGCTGCTGCTTGGAGTAATGTTGCCGCAGGATGGCAATGAGCGGTAAGTGATGTTGGCGTCACCATGGCAACTACCATCTTCTAGGATAACACACACACGGACCACACCTTTGATATCTGTGCTGGGAATGTGGAACGTCAGACTGACGCCAGCGTTGTCCCAAATAGGAGACCTGAGCAAAGACACACAGACCCAGTGACATCATCACGACATGCAGAAAACCTTTTTTTGGTTTTTACTAATTTCGTTGTTTGCACCTTAATTTTCAATGCTTAAGTTATTTTATTGTTTTGTGTGGGAGACTTCATTGTGAATTTCACTGCATGCTGTAAACTGCTGTGTTTTTTCTTACTGTGCAGACAACAGTACATTTCTCCTCCTTCTGTTTTACACTCAGAAACCAAACAATCTGCGTTTCAAACTGTGCATCATTTGTCCTAATTTCTGCAAGCCTGAGTCTAAAAGCTCCAAAGCCAAAAAAACATAAATAAAAATCAGCGTGTCCAGTAAAAATGAATATTTGTTGTCAATGAAATCTGTATCAGTGTTTTTTAAACTCATTTTTAACTATTTTGCCATCGATAAGTGCTGGGTGAGAACTCACATATTCCCAAATTGTAGAATATGGTGGTTTGTTACCAGAAATGGGCAGTAACGCGTAATCTGATTACTTTTTTCAGATAACGAGTAAAGTAAGGGATTACTATTGCAAAAACGGTAATTAGATTACCGTTGCTTTCCCGTAGGAACGCTGCGTTACTGCGTTACTAAAACCGTGATTTTTTTTTTGCGAGAATGTCTCATGACAGTGACGTAAGCAAGTGCGACATTTGTGACAACAGCTGTGTGCAGATCAACAGTGGATCATATATCAGTGCAGGAGAGAGTATGAGCGTGCAGCGTTTAAAGCGTGGAAGTACTGACCTTACTTTGAGTTTGATTCCATAAAAAGTGACAAAAACATTAGTGTCCGCTGTGCGTGGGAAGAAAACTTCTTTTTACAGCGAAAAAACCCCTAAACTTCCAACAAGCACCGAGTAGCTACGACGTAATGGGAAACTCACAGAGAAACTCGCGGATTCTTCCACTGACCGCGGCACACCTGCACCAAGGTAAACCTCCGCCTGCCCCACTCCTGCTTTACAGGTGAAAATAGAGCAACAGGACCGCTGAGTCTTTGACTTTATTTATTTTCTGCTGTGTTTTACTTGCATCTATTTGAAAGACTGAGTGTAAACACAAAATATATATATATTTTATGTGCTGGAATGTGCAGAAAATAGGTTTAAATATTAAACAAATTTCTTCCAGTCAGAGAATGTTGCAGATAATTTAATTTTTGCTTGATGCATAAAGTTAAAAGATTAAAACTAATAAAACAAGTTTTAAAAAGAGACTTTTCCATTTGATTACATTTTGTATGATGGATTATGTAGAAAAAGTAGAATTGGACTGAAAGATCTATCGCTTTATCACCTCTTCAGGTTGTAAATTGTGTTTTTAAAAAGTAACTAAGTAACTAATTACTTTTGAAAATAAGTAATCAGCAAAGTAACAGGATTACTTTTTTGGGGAAGTAATCAGTAATTAGTTACTGATTACTTTTTTCAAGTAACTTGACCAACACTGTTTGTTACAGAGGTGGGACCAAGTCATTGTTTTGCAAGTCAAAAGTAAGTCTGAAGTTTTTATACTCGAGTCAAGAGTCAAGTATCAAGTTCCTGGTAAAGTCTGAAACTTTGAATTTCAAGTCTTTTCAAGTCTTTAAAAGAAAAAAGAAAAAAAAATGCAATTATATGCTAAAAAGGAGACCACTTATCTCAACACATGATGAAACACGTGAACTTACAAAATATACACAAAGTTATTCTGAAATTGCACCTCTATAAAATGCAGCTCAATTAAACTTAGCTGTAGGAATAGTCTTCCCCTGAATGAAAATTGCAAAAGCAGAACTTCTATTCAGACAAAAACTGCTGAGATCTCCACAGTAGAAAACAAAGAACCATTGCAGTAAATGTAGCGCGCTGTGATTGGCATGTCCTCTCTCTCCTGCCTAGTCTGTTTGTGCACATATGTATCTGTATGTGTCTATGTCTGAGTGACAGAGTGTGCGTTCCCTGCGTTCAGGTACAGGACCCAATTTCTGAAACAGACCCCGCTCACCATCCACCGACAATTGTGAGATAACAAGCTGCATGTTAGATGCGCTTGTAGAATTGGATTTAAAATAGCATAACAAAAATATCATAGACGTGAAAGCCAAACAATATCATCAACGTAGCCTGGACAACATTTGCTAGTAAGATGAAGTCAGCTATCACATCGTAGCAAAAGAGAAGCACCACCTACTGTTCTTTATGCAACTTCAAATGTCGGACAAAGTTGGAAGTTGTTCCATCTTCGGCTGTGATTCTCTTCTTGCATGTTTTTGCATATTGCATTTCATTTTTTGTTGACTACTTCGTAGTTTATGTACCTGAAAGAAATTCCTCTTGGCAGCATTTTTGGCTTGAGTGTTTTTTTGTTTTTGTTTTTTTTTAAATCTGGTTAATTTGATTGGCTGTGCAACAGCTCATGCACACAGTACGTAGTGTGGTGAATGAATGAATAAATGGTGCACACTTTTTATATAATATGCTTGTTAAATTTTAGATTTGGAGTAATATAGCAAACCTTTTCAAGCAAACAGGTTCAAGTCCAATTCAAGTCCCAAGTCATTGGTGTAAAAGTCCAAGTCAAGTCACAAGTCTTTTTTCAAGCCATAAAATTAATGACTCGAGTCCGCACCTCTGGTTTGTAATATGGGTGGTGTTCCCCTGGATTAAAATCTGCTCTTTATTCAGTTATTTCTCAGCATCTTAGTGATCTGTACAGTGACTCACTCTTTTGGAGTACATTCAGCATGCGTCTGGATCCTCACTCGTGTTACAAAACCAAGGTTTTGACCTGATAACACCGCATGGTTACTCCCATAGAAAGACACCACACTGGGAGTGATGGAGTAGATCTCCGGCCCCTGGCAGCAACACACAAAAATAATCAGATCATTTAGTTTCCTTCTGCTGACATCATGACCTCTACTGGATGGGGATAATGAGGATCAGACTCACAGATTTCTTCCCAGACTCCAAATCGTTGCAAGCTCTGTCCTGCGGGAGGGATACAGCACTTAGCATCTGCACAGCACTATAATCTATCAGGACTGACCTAGGACCTGTTGTAGCTAACGTTAGTTTAGTTCAAAAAGAGGAGTAAACAGAAAACTGCTAATAAAAGTATTGACATTTTTTTTATAATCTAGACATGTAAATCATTGTACTGATGAAGCAATAAGCACTTGGTGAATAACATTTTTTAAGTTAAAAAAATCGTTCTTTAGCATCTCTGGTGTATGTTTAATAGTTTCATTTTCTACCATCAATCCCATGTTTCTTGCTCAATGTTAAAAGTGATGACTTTAAAATAATGTAGCACAGACTGATATGAAGTATGAAAATCCAGAAAATCAGTCATTAGTACATCAGTCTTTCCTTGGTTAGCCCAGGAACAGCTGTTTTTGTTCCATCCACAACCAGCTTTGATGCACTCCTGACACCTGGACAGGAGACATATTGGAGATGAGATGAACAAAATAAAAGGTGTAATCACAAAAAAGATGAGCATGAAGAAGAGACGGGAAACAGCTTTCTTTTTACTCTGACTGTGAGTTGTTTCAGTCATTTAAGGTGATCAGACTTTCTGTGTGTGGGACTAAAAAAAGGACCAGATTCAGTAACAAGTCACATTTTGTCTAAGTATAAAACATCGTGGACACTGATCTGATATCATAAAAGACAGCTGTGGTTTTGTTATAACAAATGTTTTACTGACATCAGGTGAGAATTACAGGTTGGCAACCAAAACACTGCATAGGATTGTTTGACTGTGTCTTATTGGTTTTTACTCACTGAAAACAGGAAAAATATTTTTAAAATCCCATCTCGTCAGGTTTTCTTGCAAACCTCATTTTTTAAATGTAATTAAGTGTACAATTAAGCAGTCAAAATCTGGTATCCTATACTTGAGTAAAAAAAAAAACCATTTCCAATAATGATTTCTTACATTAATTTGATATTTCTAACACAAGAGAAATACACACAGAAAATGCGAGGAAATAAGGGGGGTCAGTAGGAGGGGGGTCCGGTGGCAGTGTGAGGACCTCAGATGATCGCGTCCTAACAGGTTTAGTTTGTTCTAGAGATGGCACGATACCACTTTTTTATGTCCGATACCGATACCGATATCATAAATTTGGATATCTGCCGATACCGATATGAATCCGATATAGTGTTTTTTAATCAACAAAACTGTTTTTTAAAATATCTTGCTGCATTTTGCAAGTCTGCAAGTTCATACTCAAGTTTAAAACAACAACTACACTAAAGCTATTCTGTTATACCTGTATACAAAAAAAATATTTCATAGTTCAGCAATACTGATCAATCTAATAAACTTAGACCTACACCATCCTCCCTATTCTGGTATTTTAAAGAGTACTTAGCGTAAATATTAAGCAACCTAACTAATAGGGCTCCAACTCCCAGCAACAACAAAAATAAATAAATAAAAAATAGGGAACCACCCCTCACGCGCCACCTCATGATGCTTAATCGACGTAATCAACCTTAATTTGATTCAGTGTAAAAAAAAAAAATGCACAGAAATCAATTATTTTTCAAGAAATATTAAATAGATTCAACATCTTTCTTCAACAAAATTGCAGACTGCACAGATGGTACCTTCCCAAAGTAAAAAGTACTATAGCTTACTAGGGTATATATATTAGACTTAATAGTCACTATATACAGTAATTGACTTCTATTCATTTTACATCAAATTAAAACTTTGTGTGTCAGATAATTATTTATTAAAAGCTAGACATTTTAAATGAGAATAAGAAAGAAAAGTATGTCTTTGTGCCCCCTTTTCCCAGTTAATGCCCTATCGGCCCCCCTGGCTAAACTTTGCTAGATCCGCCCCTGCACAGTTACCAGCTACATAGAAAAAGATCCTCGAGTAGAAAGTAATATTAAATACATTCTAACAACAGCTGATCAAGCTTAAAAGTGCTGCTGTTGTTCAGCCGCTGGTTTCCTCTTTCTGGTGCAAAGTGGACCAAAAACAAACTAGAGACACGGACTCGCGACAGAAAAGCCGATCAGCTGATCATTAGCAGTTTCATGATTGAAGTAGCAGCAAGGAGAGGCAGTCGCTTGTTAAGCTTAACGCAGGAATGCTTTACAAACATTCAGAGATGGACTTACACACTTGCTTTACTTCTCTCGGGGATAACTTTGTCGGAGATGAAATGCCAGGTTGCTAGCGAAGCTCCAAATGCTATCCAGACCACCAACAGGTCCTGCATGCCACAGCTGCTCTATCACGTGATGCATACTGCTCCAACGTGCTAACGTCGTTCTGAGGCGAGTTACGGCGTGTTGCAAGTTTTGTGAGGTGCTTTCGTGATATTTAATGGATCGGATTACATTTTTTATTTTTCTCCGATATCCGATCCAGCAATTTAGGTCAGTATCGGACCGATACCGATACGTAATATCGGATCGGTCCATCTCCAGTTTGTTCACAGTGAAAGTAAGGAATCTCAGAGAAATTATGCCGAGTTAATTGGAATAAAATATTGATTTTTTTCATCGCGGTTGCGCTTTTTAAAAAAATGTAAATTTCTCTTGTTTTACAAACAAAACTGTATGTGAGGGAAATGGAGATCAGTTTTGGATTCAGCACCCTACAAAACATAAAATTTTACCAAAAATATTCCTTGCAGCTGAAAATGTTTTTTTGCAGACGTGTCTGCGCTCACACGTCTGGTGGGACTCGCCGAGACAAGAGGAAAGCAGTCGAGGAATCGAGGATGCGACGACTCTCGTACTTTTCATGTGTCTTTTATCTAATATCTCATTTATTAATTTTATTAATTTCTTATATTTTAGTCTCTGCTTTAATCTTGGCATGCACTTCAGTGAGAACTGCAGAAACATTCAGTCTGCGTTATTCTGCAGGAATTAAAGGGGAAACCGGCTGATGTTCTGACTACAGCTGAATTTAGGAAGCTGTGTTAGTTTACTGTGCTGACTAACAACATCTAACAATAATGATGATGTTGCTCTGGGGAAACTCCAGACCACAGCACATTGCGAGTGCTCACTTGATAAAAATTCCTGTCTAAAAAGTCTCTGTACACCTCCAGATGTCCTTTTTGTCTTGACGATGGCTATACTACACCAAAATAAAGACCACTCGCTAACAACGTCTGATACAGTTACAATTATTAAACTTTTCTAGCTTTGGTCATGAAGGTTTCATTCTCTCTGATTTCTAACCGTGACCTGATTGTCTGATCTGTCTGATGTACTGTAGTCTGTCCACAGTGAGTCGTTGAATTCTTTCTGATATTGATGGACTTACAACACGAAACTTGGCGCTCCCCTGATGTTAGAGCAGTCGTTTAACCTCAGTCGTTGTGACAGTGGTGATGTCCCAAGTCTGAATTTTACTGTGACATCAAGGCCTGTAAATTAAAAAAAAAAAACTTACGATGAATGTCAGTGTCTCTGTTATTACAGGGAGTGCAGAATTATTAGGCAAATGAGTATTTTGTCCACATCATCCTCTTCATGCATGTTGTCTTACTCCAAGCTGTATAGGCTCGAAAGCCTACTACCAATTAAGCATATTAGGTGATGTGCATCTCTGTAATGAGAAGGGGTGTGGTCTAATGACATCAACAGCCTATATCAGGTGTGCATAATTATTAGGCAACGTCCTTTCCTTTGGCAAAATGGGTCAAAAGAAGGACTTGACAGGCTCAGAAAAGTCAAAAATAGTGAGATATCTTGCAGAGGGATGCAGCAGTCTCAAAATTGCAAAGCTTCTGAAGCGTGATCATCGAACAATCAAGCGTTTCATTCAAAATAGTCAACAGGGTCGCAAGAAGCGTGTGGAAAAACCAAGGCGCAAAATAACTGCCCATGAACTGAGAAAAGTCAAGCGTGCAGCTGCCAAGATGCCACTTGCCACCAGTTTGGCCATATTTCAGAGCTGCAACATCACTGGAGTGCCCAAAAGCACAAGGTGTGCAATACTCAGAGACATGGCCAAGGTAAGAAAGGCTGAAAGACAACCACCACTGAACAAGACACACAAGCTGAAACGTCAAGACTGAGCCAAGAAATATCTCAAGACTGGTTTTTCTAAGGTTTTATGGACTGATGAAATGAGAGTGAGTCTTGATGGGCCAGATGGATGGGCCCGTGGCTGGATTGGTAAAGGGCAGAGAGCTCCAGTCCCACTCAGACGCCAGCAAGGTGGAGGTGGAGTACTGGTTTGGGCTGGTATCATCAAAGATGAGCTTGTGGGGCCTTTTCGGGTTGAGGATGGAGTCAAGCTCAACTCCCAGTCCCACTGCCAGTTTCTGGAAGACACCTTCTTCAAGCAGTGGTACAGGAAGAAGTCTGCATCCTTCAAGAAAAACATGATTTTCATGCAGGACAATGCTCCATCACACGCGTCCAAGTACTCCACAGCGTGGCTGCAAGAAAGGGTATAAAAGAAGAAAAACTAATGACATGGCCACCTTGTTCACCTGATCTGAACCCCATTGAGAACCTGTGGTCCATCATCAAATGTGAGATTTACAAGGAGGGAAAACAGTACACCTCTCTGAACAGTGTCTGGGAGGCTGTGGTTGCTGCTGCACGCAATGTTGATGGTGAACAGATCAAAACACTGACAGAATCCATGGATGGCAGGCTTTTGAGTGTCCTTGCAAAGAAAGGTGGCTATATTGGTCGCTGATTTGTTTTTGTTTTGTTTTTGAATGTCAGAAATGTATATTTGTGAATGTGGAGATGTTATATTGGTTTCACTGGTAAAAATAAATAATTGAAATGGGTATATATTTGTTTTTTGTTAAGTTGCCTAATAATTATGCACAGTAATAGTCACCTGCACACACAGATATCCCCCTAAAATAGCTAAAACTAAAAACAAACTAAAAACTACTTCTTCCAAAAACATTCAGCTTTGATATTAATGAGTTTTTTGGGTTCATTGAGAACATGGTTGTTGTTCAATAATAAAATTATTCCTCAAAAATACAACCTGCCTAATAATTCTGCACTCCCTGTAGTGATATGTCTGTTTTAATGAGCTGAGCCAGTATATAATAATAAACAGAGTCAGAGAACCTCTATCATTATATCTGAGTATAATATATTTTCTTATGTTGGCAAATGTTGCAAATCAATAAACAACTTTTACTGTGAAGTGTTTTTAATTCTTGGAATTATTTCTGAAAAGCCACTGACCATCAGCAGGAAGTGTACGATCAGACAGGATGCAGGTGCAATGTGGGAACTGTGGAGGAGGGCTATTCGAAACACAAATCGAGCCAGACCTTGCAGCAAACTGACAGGCAAACCTCGATGACACTTCTTCACCCACAGTCAGGTGTGCGTGGACTTTTAGTGAGATCTGAAAATGAAGAACAAAACTGACAAATAACTGAAAGCCACAAATGGTTACAGTCCCGAGTGTGTTTGTAAGCTGCACCTGTCCGGTTGTGTCCTTTTCTACTCTGTGGGAAATCATTTTGTGTTGGGACTCATCAGGAATGGACAGCCAGTCTGAATCTGTGCAGTCATCTTCAAATGTGCAGCTACGAGAAGAAAAAGTAATCATCACCAAGTTCAGAATTGTTTGAAGACGTCAGCTGCACGTGTTGTTTCTCTCACCTGCGTTTAGAGCTACACCACACACAGTATGGATCCTGTGCAGACCAACACTCCTGCAGATTTGTGTACGTGCTGCACTTCGACACAGGAACTCGCTTTATCTAGAACAACAAACACTGTCAAATGCAGCACAGGTACATGTGACGTTCAGATAATCTGTAAAAAATATAAGTACCTGGTTACTAAATGGCACATACACATGTTTCTGATCCACTGGATCCAGATGTAATTTGGGAAACACTTTGCGGTCATCACTGGTCCTGTAGAGCACCGTGGGACAGCCAGCGTGATAGTTCCTGTCCACAGACAGCTGACAACAAGAAGGAGGTTTTGCCAAATTTGCCTTTGAACACTGGGTTAAAACTAATAACGGGATCACACCAGCGCAGAAATAAAAAACAATGTGTAGAAAACACTGCTACTGTTTTAGAGAACTCTTTGTTGCTGCCTAATTTCATCACATCCTCCAACTGTCATTGTGTTGCTCAGTGTATGAGTCAGAGTGATTAAATTTCTGACCCCATGAAAAATTTCATGTAGTCACAAAATATATTTGGGTCTTAAAATGAAGGTGATGCAGCTTTTTAAATGTAAATTAACAGCTTTAATAATAGCTGTAAATACGCTTTTTAAACTTTGTCTCCAAAAACAGACAATATGAAAAATAGGATAAACATGAATTCAGGATACTCAGGCGTAAAGAGATGTGTAGAGATGTCATGGTGAGTGTGAGAGTGCAAGGGAAACAAAAGGTGATAAAATGATCAGACACTGACATGAGACCAGTGGAACATGTGGGAGTCCACCGTGAGTCAGCAGCTCTGGTGTGATAGTTTTTCTGTTTGGTCCCCTCTGCAGACCTGATCACAAGGCACCAACCTCGAGCATGATCTCAAAACAACCCCCAGATCCAAGTTAAAGAAACCCGGTCTACAAGCTGGTTGGCGGTCATGTTAGAGTGATACCGCCAACTTTTGAGGGTTGTACAGATTGGGTCATATCAGCACAGACATTTAAAAAATACATTTAATTTTAAATAGTACAAAGACAATAAATACATTTTTTGAAGCAAAGAAAATTTAATAAAAAAAATGAACACTGACCATTATATCCTTTTTTGAACTGGATGCCAATACATTTTTTTTTTAAAGTTACAAAAACAGGAACAAAATTTTAAAAAAAAATATTAGTGGAACATCTCACAACTCATTAAAAGTTTATAGTGATTAAAACCAGTTCAGAGTCCACTTCTAAGGCCTGTAACAGCTATATTGTAGGTGTTACCGTAAAGTTAAACCTGTTTTAGGCTGGACTGTTTTCAACCAGGTCATATTTTGTTTATATTTCAGGTCCTTTTAATATGTCTGCTGTTTACCTCAGCAATACACCACATCTAATTACTCTGGAGGAGGCTGTAAAACTTTGTGAAAGTCCATTTGGAGTCCATAAGTCAGTAAAGCTCAGTTATGGCAGTGATAATGAGACAAGTTTTTGAGGATATCCTGAACTTTTCTGTAGGCGAGTGCTGCTAGTTTTGCTGCTGTTAGCAGCTGTTAGCCTCTTTTAGCTGCTGTTAGCCTACATTTGTGAAACTTTCTTTGAAGTGGATCTAATACTGTTGATCTCAGACACTTAATGAAGAAACTCTAATATGATGTGAGAATGTTATCAAACTGTAAAGTGGGATTTTTAGGACTATTGAGCCTAAATTAGCTGGCATAATCTCACCTGATAACCACCTGTTGTTGTTTAGCTGCCACAAATAAACGCCTCCTTTTATGTATTTTTAATGGATGATGTCTAAGTTCATAAGAATGTATCACTTTGGTTGAAGACGTAATGGCACACTTTCTTGTATAACTGATGAGCACAACGTTCTTTTTTCTATTAAATTACCTAAAAATACTTCATGTACCTTTAAAAGAAGATAACATAAGGTCTGAGAAAGTGGACATATTTTATTGTTTGTGATCAGTTCACTTTCTTTGCATGTATGAACACAAATGTCATACTGCGACCATAATGACCTTTAATTGACAAACATTTTATATTGCAATTAAGCCAAATAAAGTATTACAGTTGGTATCCATGCTAAAGGTCTGGGTGTTAAAAATGATGGTGAGGGTAACATGGAGCCTCATGGCAGCATTTCAAATGTTGAAACAAACACTTCCATTAAACTCTCAGATCGATTAAGCAATGTCTCAGAGTGCAGCAAATCTGTCTCCTCCTCTTCTCGTATTCAACCACAAACAGAAATGAATGCACTCATGATCCATGCTGCTTCCTTAGAAGAAGCCATGCTCTATATAGCAGAATGACTAAGAAGCAGAAAAGAACAGTTTTGCAATAAAATAGAAATATCTGCAGCAAACAGCAGCGGTGCTGAATGCTGAGATCATGGCAACGTTTCAGAGGCCCACTCAGATGTAATGGTGTCATATTTCTAAACAGGATCAGCACGAATGCTGCAAGATAGTGACCGGAAAAGGAGTCGTGTCATCAGAAACATTTACTGTCTGCCAGCATCCAGTTAGAAAAACACTTTAGAACACTTTACTCCGTCGAATTCCTCTAGAATTAAATGAAATTGTTACATTGTGACAGTTACACAGTAGTGTAAGGAATTTAAAGTATTGTGTAACTTCAGGTAATATAGAGGAAAAGAGACACAAATTAAATTATTAGCAATTTTAAGTAATGCAAAAATAATTTTAAGCAGTAAGTAATTTACAGGTGTTTTAATGGAAAAAGATATACAATGTATATAAGACCCCCCTCTGCCTCCCTGTGGGTTGGTATGTCTGTGTTCTTTCTCAAGATTGGCTCTTCTACAAGAGGCCTGGGAATCTGGGGGCAGTGCTTAGCTTAGCTGTCCCAAGGACTTTACTCTTCTGAACAGAGATCTCTGATGTTGTGCCTGGAATCTACTGAAGCCGTTCTTCCAATTTGGGGGCTACAACTCCTAATGCTCCTGTTACCACAGAGAGCACTTTGGTTTTTCTCTTTTTTCTCACTCTCCTTCCCGACCTTGCTGTCTGGCAGGATGTGGCAAACCCAGCGGTTATTCAAAAGAAAACAATTGCATTTTTTGTTCCTTGTCAACCACCACATTGTCTGGTTGGTTTCCATTGGATCTTGGGGACTTCAGGTGGGGAAAAGGTCTTCCTGTACACTGTCCCAGGCACTTGGTTGTGCTTCTCAGTGTACACAGCTTTCATCTTACATCCTGCTACTTTGTACTGAATAGTCACTGGGGTACCTTTGGCCAGCCTGCAACTTGGGTCCTGTCAGGTGTAGTGGACTCCTACATGATCATGGCAGCACAAGAACAACCATAACTACAAGATCAGAGGCCGTGTCCTTTAAGCTGGCCTTTTTACCGGCTGGCAGGATTTCACTTTGTCTACCTGTCGGTGGTACGGCCTATGCAGGGGTTTGCTCGTCCAGGATAGTTCCTCCTCCTGTTCCTCATTAACATGTGTCTTCAACTGCCGAGGCAGTCTTGAAGCAGTTAGTCTTTAGGGACCACCTCTCTGATGTATTTGAGGATGCTCCATGTTCCATTCTGGCTCTGACACTCGCTGATCCTCACCCTCCCGCTTCCCATTGCTAGTAACATGGAGATATCTGTACATTGTGAGGAGTTTTCGTATTTTGATTTCAGTGGCATCCTCCTCCTCCTATGGCCAGCTTATTATTCTATCTGGGTGTCTAATGACTGTCAGGGCCTATGTATTTGTAGTTTTAATCCCAACACTTTTTACCACTCAGTTGGCTGCTCAGTACACATCTTGTCTACTTGAGGTACTTGACTGTGGCTGACCTTTGTGCATTTCTGTCATGTTTCCTGTTGACCTGTGGGATATCCAGGTACTTGTATCCTTTATGTCTGCTTCTCTGCCCTCTGGCAACTCCATCACCTTCACTCTCTTTGCAATCATTCATTGTAAAGGAGCTGACTGATGATCGCTTCACTCCTGAATTAATGTCCGTATCAGCTCTCTGCAATAAGCTGGCTTAGAGGGTTGAGGTCTATGCAAAAGCAGTAGGTACAGTGCATCACCTAGATATGTTTGAAACTTTATGGTGACATGAGTGATTGCCTTTGGGGTTGTTGAATGAATGTTCTTAGTGCACTGTTAGTCTGATACAGTGCCAAGCACTCCAGTGTTTGCGTGTGGGGCACTGAGTGACAGGCTTTCTCGTAGTCAGTGCAGCGGTGTTTAGGGTGGTCTGCCTGGTCTAAGAGTCTTGGTGCACTGCTCTGTCAAACAGGAGTAGATGCCTTCATCCTGTTTTTATTTCTGAGCAAGTGTTCACTTGCCTTTCATGGAATGCTGCTAGCGACTTCAGCCAGTTCTTCTTCTTCCAGTATTACTCAGTTGCAGTTCAGGGTGCATCTGTTCCCATGTTATTATTTCGTTGTAGCTGGGAGAACAGAACTGGAGCTTTGGAGAACAGACCATTTATTGTTTATTTCTTCAGCTTAGTGGCTTGAGCTGTGAGCCTTTGTTTGGCAGCTTTCAGAGTTGCACTTATGTGACAGCACTGAGCAGCTCCTTCAGTGGGAGACTGCGGCACCCACGGTGTGGGACGGAGAGATTTCGCAGGTCTTTCCTCCCCACTGCTGTCAGACTCCATAATAAAGACTTTAACTGATCAAGCACACACATCCATACATATGCAATAATACTAAGTGCAATAATCCTTTCTGTCATCGTTGTATTTTTACTCAGTCGTATATAGTATTTGTATTTGTATTCTATTTTTATCTTATTGTATATTTATTTTATTTTATTCTACTGTATATAGTATATTATTTTATTCTATTCTGTACAGCTGTGTACTGTATTTATTCTTATTGTATTCTAATTTTTGCCTCATAACTTTTGCACTGTCCACTTCCTGCTGTGACAAAACAAATTTCCCACGTGTGGGACTAATAAAGGTTATCTTATCTTATCTTATCTTATCTTATGTACTTATATTGTACTTCATATTCATCTATTCATCATGCTTCTCATTGAACCATTCTGCATCTCGGTAAACTGACTAACATTGTTCCAGACTTCCTTGATTGTGGTTTCAAGCTTTCTTCCCTTCCTATATAGATGTTTGACCTGACACTCATGTGCTTCTCAGATTACTGTGGTAGTATGAGCTCCCTGTTTCACATTTGTAAACTGTGCCAGTGCATCGGGGTAGTCTGTCTTGTTTGGGTGGCTACCCTAAGTCAGAGATTCATCTGCTGAAAATCACTTCACTAACTGACATCAGTAGCATCTATCTAACTTTGTGGGAGTGGCAAGAGAACTCAGTTAATCTTTGGCTTTATTAGATCACAGTAAAATGCAAGAGACTATGGCAGAGGAAGGCATTACATGGAGCTGCATTCCTCCATCCATTAAAGCCATTAAGCTACTATTATAATTTATACATGAGTGTAAATGCACCCTGAAAGAAAATACTTTAGTAAATATAGTAAATATTGTGTCAAGCAAGCACAATATGATTCTTTAACGATGTGAGTGAGCTGTCAATACAGAATCTCTGCTGAATGGGGTTTTTTTTGTCAACTACATGAAAGCAGGTGGAGGATGATGAGTGATGGAGGAGAATCCAAGCAGAAGGCAGTGTTAGATACTTATTTCTATTAACTGATATCTATTACTTAATACACACCTTAATGAGCTGCCCGTCTCCTGTCCCAATGAAGAAAACCATCCAGCCTCTCTGCCTCACTGCCAGCACAGAGGTCATGGAGCTGTGCCTGAAGAGCACTGCCTTCGGTTTCAGGATCTTTGGCTGAAAAACAGGCAACCAGCAGATTGGATATTTACAAATAACTAACCAGAAGAAGTACTGAAAGTACCTGATATAGAAATAGCATCTCATTACTCAAAGTCTAAAAAAAGCCTTGTGTTGTTGTGCCATCAAAGTGACCTCTATTTATTCACTTTGTATTTTTGTCTTGTCAAAAAATTAAGTGCTAGCAAATACTTCGTAGTGCCAGTTGAAAATTAAGAAGTACATAATGTGGCAACATGTCACGTGTACTGTTTTAGGGTTTTTTCTTTTCTTTTTTTTTATTACATCATGTGTACAGTTTAAAAATTAGCCTTAAAGAATCAATGGAACTAAACTTTTTTATAGATCATTTCTGTTTATATACATTTACTTAATTGAATACTAATTAGATGCAGTTTCACACACAACACGTCTTGTCTAAACAGAATGATCTCCCATCCACAGCTGCTAAAATCCAGAGAGTTGTGTTGGTCAGCAGCTGCAGCAACATGGTTTCTACTTACAGTTTGGAAAACTAATATTCTGATAATGAATCAATATGAGGTCCTATGAATGCACAGCACCAACTCTACAGAAGGCTTAAGCTGGTCTGTATACTTTATGGTTTTTAATAAATCAAACATCTTCACATGAACCAGCAGACAACACAGTACTTTAAATACCTCAGAATCCTTATTCAGTCATGACTTTTAGTTCATTTTTTACAATATGAGGCCCTGGATTTTTTTTCTGTTTTCTAAAGTCTAAATATTTTTAAAACTTTTAATGGAATATTTTGTGCCATTTATTTGATTCGTCGCTGTTATTTTAGTTCCACCATAATTATTTTTTGTTTAGTTTAATAATACAGTAGATTGTGTCCCTGCACATTTCTTACAGTTGTTATGTCTTTTTGATGCCACATAACAATGACTTAATGCTACTTTCTACAAACCAGAGAAAAAAATGGGACAGGTGGAAACAGTTTCAACACAAAAAATAACCATTAAAAAAATAAACTTAAGTTATTCAGCGACCCACCGTCGCTTCTGTTGGCGCAGAGGTGTAGAAGTCTGGATCTCTGTCGGTGTTCGTGCTGTAATCAGGGCTGATGTCAAACACCATCAGCTCGGTGTCGGTGTCTCCTCCATCGATACTGAACACGCCGCTCCAAAGCACCGGCTGCTCCCCCGGGATGACCGAGGAGGCCACGAGTCTGCTGCGTTCACCGTTAGAGACACTGAGAGTCGCGCCCCGCAGAGACCTGAGTGTGTCAGTTTTACTTTTATCGCCTTCGAGCCAAATGAGACGGACTCTGTTTGTTCGAGCTGAGAGCACGTTGGAGAACAGATAGATGGTTGAACTGATCTGAAACCCGTCAACAAACTCCACGTCACCTTTACTTTTGATCCCAGGTTCGCCCGAAGCTCCATCAGTCACAGAAAAAATACCTCCACCCTGTTTGTTATCCGTATTCTGAAGGTTGACAGCCTGCTGATTGATACCACACTTGTTGTTTTCGGGCTGTTCTTTGTTTTGTTGGATCGCGGTCAGAATGTAAGCGTCGGTCTGAGTTTTCTTCTTCACATCCACCAGAAAGCTGACAGACCTGCTGCTGTTCTTCAGAGGTCCCACCTGGAAGTGTTCCCTGTACAGAAGGTTGGAGATGTTCTTCAGGTCCAGAATCTCGCAGTAACCGCAGTCATCGTCAGTCACACCGCAGCTGATCAGAGAGTCATTCTTTGTGAATGGCAACAGCACGTTGATGCTGAAAGTTGCGTTCCACTCAGCTGCCTCAGAAACCCGGTAAAACTGGACATCATCCTGCTGGTTTCCGGTCTTTAAGATTCCTCTCTGGGTCAGACTGTTGATCAGACTCAGGCCGTGGCTCAGCTGGTACAGCCTCTCCTTTGTGGCGACGTAAAGTGTGTTTGAGGTCACGGCGAACTGACGGATGTCTCCATTAAACGTGAAGCCTCCATCCTCCTCCAGGCACAAACCCGGTTCTCCGCAGAGAACAGAAAGCAGAGCGAGCAGCAGGATCATCTTGAACCTACAGCAATACTTCCTCTACACAGCGAAGTCTGGCACGGCACTCGGCTCTCTCTCTCTGACGTGGTGTCTCAAGACTTGTGCGTAAAAGCGCAGCGTGGGTCTAAAAGCTGAGACGAATACTGCCTTCCGAAACGTCAGAACAAAGCCTGTTCGGCTTTTTTTACATCCTGTCAGAAATTATATCTAAGAGACAAGTTAACAGTAGCAGCCTCTCTCTCGGTGCCATGAAGTCAGAAAAAACTAAGGAAGACAAGACACATCCTCTTTCTGACGTGCACAGTTGTCTAAAGTGTGCAACCTTTTAAGAGCAGCACTCTCTCAGTGTCTTCATTTCCGAAAAAAAGTTTCGCATTGTACCCCTGCGGTGAACAGGAAGTAGTTCAGCGTTGTATTCTTATGGCAATATTTCGCTGCATATGTGTTTGTGAGTACAATAGCCAGAAATAGTTACAACTATACCCGGTCTCCCCTGTTTCTGGCATTTGTTGCTTTCGAGCTCTTTTAAAGTAGTGGATGCAAAATGTAATGCAAAGTATTTACATGTCTCTGCTGTTAAATAGTACAGCTATTTTCTCAGCAATACAATTAGTACTTGCATGGTATGGTCTCAAACACAAAGAGTGAAATGATGCAATTAACCCCATAGTCTGGGTTAGTTGTAACATGTCCTGTAACACAATGACATAAGGGTACTGACAAAATCTTAATATTTAATCATTTTTATTCAACACCTTAATGCACGCACACACACACAGCTTCAGTGATCCCTTGCTCTCCTATGTAGCAGCATGGAATCACCACTCAGAGGAAGAAAATGTAGTTGTGCACCAGCATCTTCATTAGTACAGGTGTGGGGGTTTTAAAACATATTTATAGGACTTTGTTTCTGAGTGAAACAAAGTCCCAACGTGTGAGTATCAAAGTGCTGCTCTGAATATTTTCTGTTAAATATTTTGGCGGAGGTGTGGTAAATGGCTCCACTGCAGAGGAGCCATTTCAGTGACACCGGGCCTGGAGGGAGAGGTGTGTGTGTGTGTGTGTGTGTGTGTGTGTGTGTGTGTGTGTGTGTGTGTGTGTGTGTGTGTGTGTGTGTGTGTGTGTGTGTGTGTGTGTGTGGAGTCGGCCGGAAAGCTGCTCCGCAGTGGTGGTGAAAGATGGTGTGAGGACAAATCTCTGTTCACAAATCTCAAACATGAAAAGTGTTAAGTGTCGTGACTATGGTTACGATATAAAATCATAATTAATGATAAACAGAATGGCATCAACAGTCCGTTCACTCAAAAATACACAGAATATTTGAACATGCAAACAATTAAAAAAAAGGTTTAAGTAAGGCGTAAGTGCTTCTGTAATGCACGGCTGGGTTGTTGATGAACAGTGGCATGTGACTCGTGGTCTAGTTGACCACAAGTGCAGCGTCGTCACATTTCCTGATCCAACAGACTCAAGTGAATCAGTTCTCCATTTGTGTCCAGCATTATGAGAACTGTCCTCTCTCTTGTTAAAAAGAATATTTTCACAATGGTATATGTGTATTTATGCCCCTGAAGTCTTTTTTTCTGTATGTATGAATATCCAGGAACAAAAAAGAGGCACAATTACAGTAGTTCCCTTTCCCTCAACACAGAGTAAGATGAAGTTTAAGTTTTAAATCAATAAAAAAACATTAGCTGAAAACTAGATTTCGACACTAAAGCTGATTTCCGGAAGCTAATAACAACCCTCTTTAATTGTGACACAATATAAAATAATCGCCATCAAGGTGTTCTCAATAAATGCTGCCATACAGTGTGTTTGAGTCCCATAAATATGCATCACTTCTCCTTTAGTCCTCTCCAGTTTTTCTGAAACCTCTAAAAGGACCCTTACTGGATTCAGACGCCTTGGTCGGGAGTCAGACCCCCAACCTGAAGTTGCAAAGGCATGTAGTGTTGTGCTGCATGTGCTGCCAGACACTCATGGAGTGCAGGTAGTTTCTTTAGCCAGTAGGCATGAATCGTGTCAGGGTCTGGTGATGTCCTTCTTCCATATGCTGTTCGAGTATTGCTCCAACTCAAGGCTTGGAATGGATGCTGTTCTCATATTGTTCCGACACAAACCTTGTTAATCTAGATGATGTCTGAGCTGATATAGCTTCAGTTTTGTCTCTCTTGCTCATATCCCAGGAGTAGCATGTGGGACCTAGGCTGGAAAGTGTACTGGATACACATGCCCTGGCGCATTATCTTTGCCGTTCCCAGGACTACGCTCTTCTGGACAGAGATCTCTGATATCACTCCTGGGATCTGCTGGAGCCACTGGCTCAATTTGGGGGGTAGCTGCCCCGATGCTGCAGTTATCACACTAGTACTGTTGCCTTCACCATCCACATCTTCTCAAGCTCCCCCCTCAGCCCTTGATATTTCTCGGGCTTCTAGAGGTCCCTTTTGCTGATGTTGCTTTCACTGGGTATAGCTGGGTGAAAACTTTAGGGGGATTTAGATAAAGGGGAGAGAGTAATTGAAAATGTATTTATTTAGTTATTTATTTATAAGTAAATAAGGTGGAAAAACACTAAACACTCACTCAGAATATGATACATGCCATCCAAAGCCCCCAACACACATCTGCGTCATCCACGCATCTATTCCAGTAGAAGAAGCAGGAAGGGCCCAGATGGGTTTCCCATAGCTAAGGGGTGAGAGTCCCAGAGGACCAGAGGTAGTCGACCCCGCTAGAGGCTGGCTGCCCTGGTCCGAGAACAGGGTCAAAGGGCCACAGGTGCCCAAGAACCACCCGGCAGAGCCCCTCCCATCAAGGAGGTCCTAGCCACCCCAAGCAACCAAGGGAGCGGGTCAGTGACCACACCAGAACATCCAGCTCCCCCCGAAACCAGCAGCAAACTGGGACGGTGCCCCAAAAACTGCCTGTAGCCCCTCATCCCGGGCAGGGTGTGTGAAACAGGTGTAGGGATTCCCCTTTATAAACTCAGAACCTTTGTTATCACTTGTGGCCACTAGAGGCCGCTGTCCTCCCTAAGAAGGAGCTCATACAGGACTAGCTGAAGTAGCATTTTATGAAAGCAGACAGACATAATGTATCACACAAGAAAGTTTTTTTCTGTTTTTACAATGACGACCCAAACTAATAGTAAAACAGTGCTTTGGTTGTTGCAAATTAAGAGTTTTAACAAGCAGCAGTACACTGAGTCAACCCTCTGTGGGTCAATAACATCCACAGCAAAGTGAGGATAATTTCATTGCTTTCTTAATGTTCTGCTGTGGATCAAAGTGTCTGATGAACTGATGTTAGCTAACATGCGGCTGGTGTCACGGCTGGTCAGGCAGGACTTAAATGCGGGACTCAGAGCTGTGCATGTAAAGGGAGGTTTATTTACAACAACACCAAGTGAAATATATACACATATGTACATATTTAAGGGCCTTGAGGTGACTTTTGTTGTGATTTGGTGCTAAATAAATAAAATTGAATTGAATTACAGTGATGAAGGGACACGGGCTCCAGGAAATCTAGGGGAAGGTCCAGGGCAGGGGTCCACGTCCACAGTCCTCTTCACACTGTCTGTGACTCACTCGTACTCAATCCACTCCCACGCTGAAACTCACTGACACTCATCCAAGCAGGGTCCACATGAAACAGGCAGGGATCCTGAGGATCGTTAGGAAAAACCAGGAATCACGATGAGACTCGGAGATTCACAAAGAGAGCTGGAACTACACTAACGAAGGTAAGCACAACAACCCAGCAATGAACAACAGTCCGCCGTGGCTTTAAGTAGTGGCAGAGCAATCCTGCAGCAGGTGAGTGATGATGAGCAGTCGTGGAGATTGAGGCAGGGACCAGGAGGAGGAATGAAGAGGGAGAGAAAACATCCAAAACAAACGGAGCTCTAGAGAGGACCGGAGGATCAGGACACCTGGTGTGGTCTTCTGCTGCTGTAGTCCATTTACTTTGTGTTGTGCACTTAGAGCTGCTCTTCTGCACACCTTGATGGTAACAAATGGTTCCTGTTGCCTCACTATTGGCTCAAAGCAGTCTGACCATTCTCCACTGACCTTTGGCATCAGGAAGGTATTTTCCCCCAGGAAAATACAGCTCACTGGATATCTCAACTTCTTTATACCATTTTCTGTAAACCACAGAGATCATTGTTCTGGAAAATCCAAGCAGAATCAGCCTGTCTGGCATCAACAGCCACGACACATTCTATCATCTTTCTTCACCATCGTGATGCTCAGTTTGACCTGAACAGGCACACATAATAAACTGGCTGCTGGATGTATGCAGCGTGACTCTACTGGACTATACAGTTTTGGTGCCATGTTCTCAGACTGTATATATTTTCTTTGTCTGCTTTCTGCTGCATATAGTTTCACGAGTATCATTTTGCTTTTCTCAGTTTAATGATTTATATTGTCTAAAGTTTTAAATAACTCCACATTTTTGTCTAAGGAGCTTGGAAAGAAAAGCATCTGGACTGTTTTAAGTTGCTTGAAACTGGCTGAACCTTCACAGACAAACTCCCCACTTTGTTTTTGTGTCTGAACACGTTTTAGTCCACTGTACATTTCTGTGGTGCTCTTTTTAAAGTCAGCCAGGGTTTAATAAAAGTGAAAAAGTGTCTGTGTTTACATGTCATAGCACATTTAAGTTGTGCGTGTCATTTGCCTAAATGCCGCCAAAACACTGGAAAAAAATCTAACATAGACGGTTTGGAAGAATATCGTTTAACGTTTTGAGATCTTTGAAATCTTTAGGGGGTTTGGCGAAATGAGAGAGGAACTGGAAAATAGTGGAATTTCCCTTTAGAATCTCGAAGCCTGTGTTATTGCTCCCCGCCACCAGAGGCCGCTGTCCCCCTCGTTGTGCTCATGCAGCGGCACGCAGCATCAGCCCGGTCAGAGGCAGCAGAGTGTCGGGAACTCCAGCAGCTCCTCTCTATATATTTCCACTGAGGCTCTGTTTTTGGGATTCATTCATCCCCGTCAGAGCTGCTGCTCGGTCCGCCCGGACAGGATCTCCTCTTCCATCCACCCGTCCATCCACCTATCCGTGTTCACCTCCCCCTCTGCCCAGAGGTGCGCAGCGTCCGCATCTGCACCTCAGAAGGTCAGACACATTATTTTCGATCATCGGACCTGTCAACTTTTTTCTTTCTTGTTTTCCTCTCTTTCCCCCCATTTCTGTCCTCTTGATTTCATCACCGGAGGAATTACTACTGAATTCAGCGGTCACCGGTGAGTCGCCCTGCCGGTGTTTTCTCGTGAGGCGAAATCCCCGCAATATAGAGGCGTGGAAGCGATCAGACTTGTGGTCAGGCCAAGAGGTCTGATATATTAGCAGCTGAGGGAATCCTTTTAAGGAAGCTCGTGTTTCCTGAGGTGAGGTTGAGTCTCATGGGGGGAAAGTCTATCCTAAGTGTTGCTGGGATTGCTTTAAATTAACCTTAACCATAGCTTAATGTAATTTAGTCTGTGGTCTTAGTGACGTGTTGCAAGTTGGAAAAGTCTTGCAAGTCAGTTATTTAGGAAATTAAAATGGAGCAATGAAAGAGAAAGCCAGAATCCAGTTTTGTAATACAACCAAAAGAGTTCAGTCTTTATGAATATGCAGTTTCGTGTTACTCTCCCTTCTCCTTCTCCATTCGCATTCATGGGCAGCCCCGAGTACTGCAGAACAGGCCAAATCTTTATGGGAATTAGGGTCCTGTCGCCCAGCACTGGTGCCTGCCAAACTGGGCAGAAGAAGAGGGGCAAGGAAATGCTGAGTGGCTTTGATATACTGCTTATGCACTGAATTTCAATCAATTCAATCTGGACTGAAGGCCAGATAAGAATAATAATTAATTAATTAATAGTAATAATAATAATGAAAAATAAAATGCATGTACTCATTATATTTAAAACAGAGATAAATGTTGCTATATTGTGTTTATAATAGCTTAAATAACTGTATAATAGTCCTTTTTGTAAACAGAGCTGTGAAGCACTACAGTCTCTGCCTTCTGATGAAGCACTGTAACTGGTGCACTTACTAAAAAACACAAGTACAACCGACATACTCTCAGTTTTTGCTACTTAATATCCCTTGAACTGAACTTCCAAGTAGATTATGATTACATAAACACGTGTTAACCTATAAGAAAAAAATCACCGCAACTAGTTACAATGCACTTTAATGTTAACACTAATTCATAGATAATAGCAACATATCATTAACATATAAATTAGCATGATGTCCAGAATGGGGCCATTCTGCATGGTATCGAGTTCAATGTTAAAGTTGCTCCTAAGGAAATCTCAGAGTACACACTGACTTATTTGTTAACAGGTCAAATGAGGCCAAACTTATTTACTTTAACTTGAATGAAATTTATTAGAAGAGTTGTGAAGAGTTCTGCTTTTATACTGAGCCACTCCTTCTTCTATTTATGTATCAGGATGATGATCATGTGACAGATACCCGTCACCCCTGGTTGGTGTTCCAGTGTCACCATATGGTAGAAATTTTTGGAATTTTTTTGTATAATATTAAAGCCTGGTCTGGATCGTTACTGAAAATCTAGCGTCTTTTTTCGGCTTTTACTTAACTAAAAATATAATTTAAACGTTTTCTTAGAGTCAGGGCATTGCAGAAGTATTTTCCCCACTAATTTCCCTCCAGAGGCTGCGCACCATTTCACTGTATATTCTGATGACAGGCCTGCGGTTTGCCGTCTTTCTATAGCCTGTGGTGCAGCAGGTCTCCTCCCTTGGTTTGGAGCACTGAGGTCTGTAATCTCAGTCAACCACAGCACCACCACCCAGATTCATTTCTCAGGGTAAAAATTACAAAAAGGCCAGCTGGGCACACAGTGGAAAAAAATATATACACGTGCCCAGTTTGACAGTCTGGATGAAGTCCCTGCAGAGCAGAGGTCCACGTGTCGAAATAAGCACACTGCTGCATCCTGGACAGAGGGCATCGAGTCCATCAATCATCACTCTTTGTATTTCTCTGTTAAAGTTTTTGCCTCTCCTGAAAGTAAACAAGAACAGCTTCACAGAAACACTGACAGCACTGGCTATGTAGCCAATTATGGAAAAGTTTATTAAGACACAGTCTGATGAGGATCACAGGATTTGCTTTCTAATCTTGTAGTCATTTCTAATCACATGCTGTAGTTAGTGCTGACTGTTTTTAACCTTTGCCGTACACAGCGAGTTTGTCTTTCGCCTCTTTTATGTTGATTTGTTAAGAATGTTCTAATTAACGTTGAAAGTCAATTTAAAGGAATGTTGTAGAAAATACAGAAATTCACTTATTTAGTCTCCTGATGGGAGTTAGCTGAGATCGCTCATTTGTACCTATGAAGTCTGGACACCCTTAGCTTAGCTTAGCTTAGCTTAGCTTAAAAACAGTCTGGTGCTGTGAATTCCTAAAGCATTGCCGTTACCATGTGTTGCTCAAAAACTGTCTGAGAATGAAGTCATTCCACCCAGCCAAAAAAAGCAAAGAAAAAAGACCCTTTTCTGTAATAAACTAGATGTATAAAATGGACGTAGTTCCTGTGATGCGTCAACGGTAGCATTTTGGCTAGTTAAGACTGGTAGTGTTGCTAGTTAAGACCAGCGGTCCCCAACCTCTTTTGCACCACGGGTCAGTTTAATGTTAGACAATATTTTCACAGACCGGCCTTTAAGGTGTTACGGAGCCCCGCAGGGGACATGGGAGAAAAAAAAAATTAAGACGGACTTTTGCAAGATCTCGCAAAACAAACTCGGGATCTCGCAAAAGTTTTAGCCGCATTCTTCGGAGGCCGCCAGCTCGAAGCCGACCAGGAGATCGAGGCACGATGTGCCGGGAAAGCGGTGTTCCTCCCGGCTGTAGTAGGTCTCGACCTCCCGTTAGCTTCGAGATGGTGGGTGTCAGATCTCCGAAAACGTCGGAGCACTTTTGCAAATTTGTGATGTCTTGTAAACCGAGCAGGTATCTGACATTTACACAACTACATTCACACCTCAAAATATCTTAAAAGTGTATTTTGTGACCCAGAAAGAGTAATATTACAACTAAGTAGCTGCCGCCATTGTTGGAATGTTGCGAGATCTCGCAAAACTTTTGCGAGAACCCGAGTTTGTTTTGCGAGATCTCGCAAAAGTCTGTCTTAATTTTTTTTTCTTCCATGTCCCCTGCAGGGCTCCGTAAGGTGTCGCAGATAAATACAACAAAATAAAATGATACGACCAAGACAAAAACTGTGGTATTTTGTAAATATAATAATAAACACAAATTCACTGTGTAATTGTGTAACTTTATTAGCAGTGTCCTCCTAAAATCCGGGAAAAGACCCAGGGAAACCGAGTTAACGATAAAAACCCTGAAAATCATAAATTTCACACCCGAGCCTCAACTCTTGTGGCCTGGTACCAAACCACTCACGGACCCGCCTGATGGGTTGGGGACTGCTGGTTAAGACTAGCAACACCAGCAGAAATGCATTCATAAGCCGTATATATGCGACAAACAGACACGCATGTCTGCTAACAGTACAGAACTTTATCACTCAAGTATGTGTACACACACAATTGGGCTCAGGTTACTTCTTTGCTCTCAATGTACACTGCACAATAGGCAACAGACAATACAGACAATAGCAACATGGCACAAATAATAACACACTGGAAGCCTGGCAGATATAATGAACTGCCGGGGACATTTCTGCCCAGCCAGGTTTGGGTAGCACAGGGTGGCTGATCTGGAAATCTGTGTACGACCGTGGTCAAGAATTCCAGATGGTGGCGGTAAGGCCTGGCAGGCGCTCACTGGCTGTAGCTGCCTGTCAGTCAAAGTAAACACATCCGTAACTCTTGTATTCAGATGGATGAATTTCTCACAGAGGGCAAATACCTTAAGGAACTGAATTTTTGGCACTTCTAGTTGAACCAAAGATCATTTTTATTAACTTTAGAAAAAGTTGGGCCAACAGTTTTCACTAGTCTTTACAGCATGCTAGTTAAGCTAGACTACAGTCACGGTAAACACTCACTTGTTGAAGTAAATCCTGAGATCTTTCTTTCCCTCTTCTTATTTTCCCCATCTTCAGATTCAAGCAGTGATTTGTTATCCAACAACAGTATCAGACTTCAGCTAGCCAGGTTTTTATCGGGTTTTTTTTTTTAAAAAGAGCAGAAGAAAAAGAGGAGGCTCCATATTTACAAGAGACAACATGCAAATGCACCTTTGTTAGCGCTGGACGAGTGCAGTGCTAAGGTCAGCCAAGCTAGTCACAGCTTGTCTTATCTCTGTACCGCATGCAGGTGAGATGAAGTTGATAGTGATTACCACGTTTGACACATAAAGGTGGCAAACACACAGGCCGTGGTCTTTCAGAATGTGAGAAAAATTGCTCTTTAAAATGCATCCCTGCTTTACTTGTAGTGCTTATCCTGGCTCATAGTTGTTGTTTTTTTTCCTTTCTCTGGCTGATCCTATGTTTCTTTGACCTTGGATCCATGCTGAAACAACATATCATTTGTTTTTGTCTTGGCAGCCACTGGAATTTGTTCTCTGTCAGAAAAAAGCTCTACATGCGTTGAGTAAAATAGAGAGACACCTCAGCTTCACTAAAGCAGATCATCCTGTGACTTCATTGCATGACTGAGGTGTGTGCGTGTGTGTGTGTACATACATGTATGTTTGGATGAAGGATGGAGCAGGTGTGGAGGCCATAAAAGGCAAAACAGGAAGACGAATGGCCGAGTCGATAGGGAGACACGTCTCTGTGCTTCTCTTCTTCCTCTCAGTGGTGATTCCCTGCTGCTGCGTGGGAGAGCAAGGGATCACTGCAGCAGTGTGTGTGTGTGTGTGTGTGTGTGTGTGTGTGTTTTTGTGTCGTTACAGCAATGTGTGCGAGATGGGAAACAGAGGGAGAGCAAACACGAGCGTAAAAGTGAGAAACAAGGCAGAAAAAAAAGTGCTGTAACAGCCATACATATTCCCTTCATGTCCTGTTTACATTCGACTGAAGACTTTTCCTTTAGCATCTACTGTCAGTGTAAACACTGTGCGTGGAGCTAAAAGAGAAGCTTTTATCTCCCTTTAGAGCACTGTTGTTATGGATGTTACTA